GATGGCAGATTGGGATGTTTATCTGGTGAGTGAAGGCTGCCAATGTGGCCTGCAGGGTCCTGGCGTGATTTAAATGTCTTCATAGCTCGACTGCACAGAGTGTTGTTGGATTTTATTTCACCAAATCTAAATGGTAAAATCGGTTTAAAAGATCAGTGTAGTGGCATGTTCGCAGCGTGCATGTTTGGAGCTCCTTATTGGCTTGGTGTGATGTGTCGTGCTTCAGAAAGCAGATTGAAGAAGCATTACTAGCAGAGAAACGTATCCCAAAATTTTACCTGAAAATATCAGAACTCTTCCAAGGTCCCTACAGAACCAATTTCAAATAAAGAACTGCCCTCTTCCACCTTTTCAAACAGTCCCCCTGTGGTCTAAATGAAACATCTGTGCTGTGCTTTGGTCAAAATATAACATGAATCAAGCACCAGAGGAGGTTTGTGACCCTGTATAAACCAGCTCTCTCAGAACGCTCCGTTTTGGTGTGTGTCTCTTTAAATGCAATGAGCCCCCCCCCCCCGAGTTTTCCTTGTAGACATCACTCCTCTGTAGAGAGAATAAAAATGGCGGACCTGCACATAAATTCTGCTCTAGTCTGGGGGTGGAGTTCATGGGTGGAGATACCAGGGGAGGGGAGGGGATTTTTATTTTTTTTACCAGAATCCCACTGTGACATCACAAGGAGCATTTGTCTCTGTGTTATAAGACTTATCCAGGACTGGATGGGTTTATTTCACATTTTGTGGGTCAGTAGACACTCAGGTATCCCAATTATATGTTCAAAAACACTGTACAAGTGGATTTGTATATTTTTATAATATGTCCTCTTTAAGTTTTAAGTATTATACCTTTTCAAAACAGTTGTTCTCAGAAGCAGAAAAAAAGCCTTCTGCCAAAGCTGCATAGGTTTGAAAATAAAAAAAGGGAGGAGGACTTAAGAGAAACTCTACTTTCCTTTACACCTTTTAGTCGCTGTGTACAGCTGTTACCAGTTGTGAAGTTGAAAAGAGGTTTTCTGACACTTATGATGATTCAACAAGCACTCTGTTTGAAACATCGAGTCTTTAAATGTTATGCCGACACACATGGAATGCCTACAGTAGTGGAAATGTCGCCAATAATAAGACATTTTTCATTTGACGACTTTATGGTTGAGGTTTACTTGTTTTTTTTGTTGCACAAAACCACTTAGTTATGGTTTGTGGCTTTGGTTGTAATTACAAATTAAAGTAGTTTTAATGTTAGAGGGAACAAAGTTGTCATGGTTACAATAACAAACACATGGTCATGGTTAGAGGACAAATAATACCAATCAGTTGCTGACTTGAGGAAACTGAAAACAAACAGATTTTTCCAAAGAGACATCCTATTATAACTGAACTGAACTTTAAATGATATACAGTAAGCACCTTTTTTTAGATATGTAAGAAGTAAAATATAAGCACAAAGAGCCAATACGAAAGAATAATGAAAACTCACATTGATCACTTCATTAATACCTCATCATTTCACTCTCTGGCCATCCATATATTTGGATATAATTTTTGTACACTATCATAAATTGAATAATCATCTGTGAATAATCGAAGCACAAACTTGAGTGAAATTGTACCTAGCTGCTTTCACCCACTAGTTTTCTTTGTACCATTAGACTTCTGTTCAGCAATGTTGCAGTTTTCCCAGAACGTGAAATAAAAATATGTATTTTGCTGATCATAATTATCATTTTTAAACATATTCTGTCAGAGTTCCTGGTCAGAAACACAAATCTCCAGTATGAAGTTAGCCTGCGGCTTCAGTTCAGACAGCCCACCAACACAGTGAAGACCTGATAAGACGATGAGGAGCTCTGACAGCCTGCCTCCAGTCTGAGTGATCTCATTCCATACTGGGAGTACTGGCACCTTGATCCACTACATGAGTGTGAGAGAGAGAGAGAGAGAGAGAGGGGGGGGTGTTTGCCACACACTGCTCAATTCACCCCCCTCCTATAGCCCCCCTGAGACCCACTGTGCATGACGGCATGTCACTATTTTTAAAACATGCCGTCATCGGGATCACTCGTGCACACAACTCCCCCCCCGCTGCCGGTGTTGTGAATCCCAGCCCCACCCCACTAAACTCAGCGGGGAGTCTGACTCTGCTGGCATCGGAAAACCAACTCTCCATGAATATTGAAAAGGCTTTTTAGCATGCAGCGTGCGTGTTGCCGGGTTTGTGTGGAGATTTAGAGTGTAGAGAGAATCAGCCTCTGTGCAAGTAATGCCGTTAACATGACAACATGCACCTGCTAGCCTGTTTCTAAACTGCAAAATCTATAAGGAGCTGTGAACATTATATAGAGGGGGAAGGAAATGACTTACACATGTGTCACCTCCAGGTATCGACATGTGTTGGATGTGCCTGTGCATTCAGAAAGTGACAATGAGCTGTGCATGTGAAGAATTCTGTGAATGAACGTGGAACTATTTTACATCTGAAAGTGTGTAACTGAACATTTCCTGGCATAGTTTCTTCTCATGATAACCATCTGCTGGAGGTTTTTCTTCTTGAATATCAGGCACAGCCACTTTGATTGCTAAAACAGTTTGCTAAATCCACCAGAGAAGAAAGCATCAGAAATCTCCTCTTTTCTCAGCGGCTGACAGTAAAAAGGAAACGGGCTGATAACAAATGGTAATGTGTCTACCTAATTTGCAGGATGAATGCACAGAGGGCAGCTAATGCAATGATTTGGGTGTGTAGCTCAGGATTAAAAAATGGAGAGCAGCTGCTGTTCAAACAACAACTTTCACTGGAGAACTGTGGCAAGTAAACTGCAAGGAGACGTACTGCTTTACTTCTTTGAACCTAAACTCCTCCATCTGGATGAAAAACAAGCTAGCAATGCTAATGATGGATAAACAGGCTCACATGGTTAGTCCTTTTGGTGGCTTTAAACTATTCAAGGAGGTCTTTATCCATTTGATTAGTTCTAACATTGCAATGAAGTTTTTAGTCCTTTATGTTGAAGTGTATGTCTGGTCTGTTTCAGAGGTCCCCCCCCTCTTATGGCTCTAATTAAGTTGGTGCTACAAATAAATTGCCAATTACCGTAAAATCCGGAGTATAAGATGCACTTTTAAAAGTGGGCTGTGTCCATCCCAATGTGACCAATATACCAGATTAAAATGTTGACACATGTACCTTCATTACCGTGAGTGCAGCCACCACCATCACACCATGCAACATGCTGCTACCGGAAATGAGCCCCTAGTCATTGTGTTTTGCAAACTGTGCTGGGATACATAGAGATGCAGAACATGCTGGCAGCAACCACTTAAACTTACTCTAACATCTTTTCCCCCTCATTAGATCATAGTGGTACACTCTTAAATGAACCTTGTTGATCGCTGGTTTGATTAAAAGACTTCAATTAAAGTCAATGAGTCACCAAGGGCTGTGAGTCTGTACTTCACAACTTTTGACATACAGTAGGCTGAGAGCTCAACTACAGTATACTTAAAATGCTTACAGTAAATGGCACGCTAAGCCAAATCAGGTTTCACAAGACGTGGTTACGTCTATGCTCCAAACCTATTTAGTTTTTCAGAAAACAAGTACTATAGCGAGTCATAGCACACAGCAGGGCAGGATGGCGCTAAGCCCTTAGCTAACGGGATAATAACAAAAGCAAGAGAAGGAATTTCAAGCAGGTGACTACCATAGACTGCATGTCTATGAACATGGATGGAGTCTCTGTGACGTCACCCATTGGTTTCTGAGGCAGGCTTTTGAAGCCAAAGTGGCGGTCGCCATATTGGAAATGCTGTTTCAAAGTAACTATCGGTCAACTATTAGTGACAGGCAAAGAGCTGGAGCTCGTCAGTCAGATCAGATGATTACTCTCATCCTTCAAAAAAATCTATCTGGATGAGTTATAGAAACATTTATGTAATGTAGAAATTAGATATTCTAACCAAAAGTACTCTTTGAACCAGGCTGTAAATATGTTCATTTCTGCTCTCAAAACAGACTTCTTTTGAATTTGAGCTATTGCAGCCAGGCTCCAGTGGACACTCAAAGAACTGCAGTTTTTTTGCACTTACTGTAGCTTCATGTCTCAACAGCGAGGGTAACCGATTGGTCCCTTCTCATAAAGACACATCTTGAGATTTTTCTGTACATTTATGTGCAAACAGTGTAAAGAAAGAAGTTGCATGTTTATTCCTGAGCTTTAAGAGAGTTTCTGTGCATACAAATTGTATCCTGCATTTCTTTATGTTATGTACACAAACTTGGTAGTGTCTTTCTAGCTCTCTGCAAAATAAGAACATGGCCATACTCTCAAAGATGTGGAGCTTACTCTTGAAGCTTTTTCATATTTGTCAAATAGACAGGGTGTTAGTTTCTTGAGACACTTGACCGTTTGTTTGATAAAACTTTCAGGAAATCAAACGGTTAACTTTTCGATCTAACAGAAGTGTGTAACAAACTCCACACTGGAGCAGAGCTATGAAAAATAAAGTGTTTTATTTTCAAAGTAATGCAAGTGTGACGGCAGAGAAGTAATCTGCCTTCTGGTGTAGCATTAACTTGGCTTTATTACAGATTGAGAGGGGCTTCCAGTCATCATATATGATTTATTTGTTGGGTTTAAAGCGGCTGATTCATGTTTTTTCCTGTTGAGTATTTGACGTTGCTCGTCTCATAGCTGCTGCTTGTTTTTGTTGTCACTGAATTCATTCAGTTTCAGCGCCCGGGGAGATTTGTGTTTGCTTTGAAACTCTTTTCATTAACAACACTGTGTGAACTAGGAGAGGTATATTCTGTGTGAAGGAATAACTCGATACTCCTCGGAAGACGCAATTTCCTTCAATGAAACTGTTTATTTAAATACAATAAAAGTAGAAACGATTTAATCAATTGAAAGAGAAGTCATGAAAAACCCATTGTTTAAACACAGAGCACTGAGCCTAACACACACACACACCTTCTTACAGCCAGTATTCCCTCTGTTTCAGGTGTGTAGGAGCCTGTAATGATGTCCTGGGAGGCTGGCTGGCTTTACGAGTGAACCCTGGCACCGAGCACGCACCACACCAGGCCTCACACCTCTGCCTCAGACCGGACCTTATTAATTCCCTCTGAGTGACTCTGTTCCTTTCTCCCTCACTGGACTACGGGCCCCGACACAGCTGGTTCACAGGTGAGCTGTGTATAGCCCTGCACACCTCACGAGTAGCGTGAGTCAATTCCAAGGGAATTTTTATTCCTCTGATATTTTAAGGCAGAGCAAGCTGAGGCAACTTTTATCTACAAAGCACCACTCACACACAGATGTGTGAGTGGTGCATAGTTAAAAACTGAACACTACTAACTGTATTCAATGTGAAACAACACCAATATTTATAACCTGATGATAATCTCACATACAGACTTAAAAAAAAACATAGCACGTAGACCGTGTGACCATTTAGCAGATGTGGGAAAACAGTAGGAAGATAATTCTCTACTTAAGTTTTTAAACAAATCTGTTAACATGCTTAAAGTCTTAATATGTGATTTTTCACACTTAAAAGTAATATAAATGAAGTATATCCTCTGAAAATAACTCATGTCATGACTGTCTACTCATGTCATTACTGTCTACAATGGGTGTAACACCTGAGTCCCACTGTCTGTGATGTTTTCAGAGTCCTATAAATGAATCAGTCATATTTTACATACATGATACTAGCCCTGTGATTGACTGGTAAACAGTCCAGGGTTTACCCCTCCTCTCGCCCCAATTACAGCGTCTCCAGCCCCCCGTGACCCAAAACAGGAAAAAGCGATATAGATAATGGCTGGATGTACGGTAATGCATTTGCTTTTTGCCTGGAGTTAGATTACAGGATTGATACCATTCTCATGTCTGTGTGTTCATTGTGTAGGCATGAGGAGAATAGATTATCTCAGCACAATGAAATCAGCCACATTTTAAAAACAAAGATATAACATGATATTTGGGAGGCAGCAACGTTCCTTAGTGCACATTTTTGACTCGTTTCGTGCTTTCACACCTGCACAAAACTCCTGAACAACTTGGGTGAGCTGCATGTGTGAACGCAAACAGCTGAAGTTTTCACTTGAAATTCATCCAGAGTTTCTCCTGCCAGCCTCCGAGTAGTTTTCAGCATGAAGTCCGAGTGAGCTGATGTGAGAACGCAGCAGGACAATTCAACACGAGCCAGTGGGAGGGGGTGGTGATTTATTCCCTACGCTCAGTGTACGACCATGGACTTTGAACACAACCGCTATGATCTCTGTGCACGTAATGAAACTCCTGCACTGTTTTCTGTTCTCCGGTATAGTCTGCTTTTGTTAGTATTGTAAATCTGTCACAGAGCATTGATATGAAAGCAAACATTCTCTTGATATATGTCGTATAGTGGACGAGGTTGCTTCATCCACCACAGTCTTTCTACGTCATGTCTTGCCTCATGAGTTTTATCAGTTTGATCAGAAACACAAAAAGGAAACAAAATGTATCGTGTCCAAAATCCTCTGGTTGAATCCAAAACAAATCTTCAGGTGTGCGTCTGTGTTTCCTGCTTTTTGCTTTTCCACACACTGTGATCATTCTGTCTTTCTGTCCGTCCATGCCTTTGTTGTCTCTTTGCATCTCCTCTTCCCGTCAGATTTCAAAAGGCTCAGCGGCTGCCTGTCCTCCTCCCCCTCAGACCTGACATAATGCCCCTCCCCTTCTTCGTCCTGCCTCACCTTCACCTCGGCACTGACCCTCCTCCCCCAACATCAGAGCTGTGTGCACAGGGTGGCCTCTCATAATTAAATCCACAAGTTCACAGCTCCTGATTGTCACATGGTTCAAGTCTTTAAACGCCTCTTCCCGACACCCCCTTTCTTCCCGGGGGTTAAGGGGAATTTGATCTCTTTCTTTGTGTTGAAAGGAACTCAGATGTTTCATTCGGAAATTGCCAAAGAAATTAGATTTTGTGTTGTATCATCTAAGCAGGTTGGGTGGGGGGTTACACAATGCAATCCACAGAAAATGATAGACCTGTTTCAATCAAAGGCAAAGCCGTGAAAATGAAATTACTTTCCTGGCTTTTTTGCTTTAATCTCATCCCACTTTTATAAACATGTTCATGGGGTGTCTCAGTCGACTACACCAGCAGCCACACGCTTGAAGTCTGCATCTGTTGGTTTTGCATTTGCATGGTGGTGGCATGTAATTTAAGATACATCACCGGGCATGGCAATTTAATTAGATAGCTTTTTTTTTTGTGTGTGTGTGTGAATTCACCCCTCGTTTGAATTTAATTTGCACCAAACAACCCCTGGGCTGTTCATTCAGTGCGACAGGCAGGACTGACACACATTAGGTGCAGCTCCGTGTAATGCTGGGATACATGTCTGGCATTACCCTTTTTTTTTTTTTTGCAGCGGCATCCTGATTGAATTTACGACCACACTCCTGCTGAGCTGCCTTTTTTTATGCAAGCATTAAATTCCCATTTCTTCGGCTCTGCAAGTGCTGCTTTTTTTTGGTAGTTATTGTTTACAATCCCCAATAATATCCATCACAATCTGTTGTTCATTCTGTCATCTTACAGTTTCATGATATTAAACAGGGCTTAAGTAGGCTTTGAACACATAGCAGCTGCCTTTTTTAGTTTCACCTACTGACACTTTTGGCTCATTGACTGGGGTCTCCCATGGGAGCCAAATGTTTTGCCACGGAGTATTGATTTCTCTCCAGCAGGTCAGACTCCAGCTCCTGCTGCTTTATTATGATGCCATATGAGGAAAAAAAAACAGAATCTGTCTCGCCTCATGTCAAAAATAAATCCTCCTTAAATGGTCTCTTTAGTTACTCTTTGTGCTTTAACATCATGCTAAATGACTCAAAATGACAATTTATTATATTTTGTTAGTTAAGGACCCAAATGTAGAACTCAAAGACTGATAACAAATCAATGTATTATATTTTAGTAGCTGCGTATCTGAGCAACCAAAAGCAGAGTGGTTGTACTGGAAATGCTGGAAAAGCATGTAGACAGCAGTCTTGAAAAGGTATCTGAACTGTACCTTCCTACCTGCCTTAACTGGGACTTTTACGCCCTCTGTTACGCCTTGCCATCGATGTAAATGTGATGGAGACCAATGTTGGGACAAAGTTATTCTGAGCTGGCATCAGATGCGTAAAAGGACTCAAACAGCGTCGCTGTACAATGTCAAAGTCGGCATTGACAGATAATTTGGCTTACATCAAAATTGCTACAATTTATCATCGGACTGTGTCGTCCCCACAACCACCGGCGTCCTCATCCATGCACGGCCTGCTCCGACCTCCACCTGCCAGCAAGGAAGTGTGGACAACAGGACCGCGAGGAATACAAAGGAGAAATCCTTCATCCATATTATCCCATATGCTCTTTTGTAAAGCATCTCGAGATAACACATGTTAAGAATTGGCGCTTTACAAACAGTGATGAGGGAAACATTAATTACTGAACTATTGAGTCACTGTTGAGGAATATTAGTCAGAGCCTGATGGACCTAAAGACTAATACATTTATCATGGCTAAACATACTTTTCTTTAAAGACTAATAGTCTTTCTCACACCAACCTGACCTCCTTTGCCCAGAATCTTTCTCCTCCAGGCGCGTCTGGCTGTCATGGAACACATCATACAGCCTCCACACACCCGCACTGTCTTGTATTGATTGGTCGTTGTGTCTTGTGCGACAGCCAATGTGGTAATGCTGCACAATCTCCCAGGACAAGTGGCTCTCTGTGCTGATGATAAAGAATGTCAAAGGGCCTTGGGGCCTCAAATTGAAATGGATCTATGTGTTGTGTTTGTCAGAATAATGCCATTGATGTGACCTGGCAGTTTACTACTCGCTGTTGCTTTGAGGTGGGCTGCAAAGCCAAAATAACACAACGTGTGTGGCATAAGGCATTGTGTGTTTGTGGTGCAACACTGAATAAAAGACCTGTTTGTAGTAGTATGTTAGTATAGAAACTTTTTGAATCAATTAGGGGGATTATGACTGAAGCTTCCCCAGAAAGCTCTCAGTGTGTGATTATAAAGGGATTCTGTGAGCTGCTTAATGTAAGCAAAATAAGCCTTCAGCGTGTTGATTGGATGCTTTGAAGAAGCTCATTTTGAAATCACATCAACCTGAGTGTGCTTCATTTTACCTGTCAGTCAATATTTGACAAGAAATATCGATCTGAAATCGTTTTGGAGCTAGCAAATTACAAGCTTCCAATACTATGATTTGCAAGGAATGTCAGCTACAAACACTTTAAGGCAGTGTGCATTTGTATCTTTGGACTTAAGGTGAAAATTCCTCACTCAAAGCTTTTTGATCATTTGCACAAACAGAGATGAGAAATTAATAGTATTGATGTTCTTTTTCCGCAGGACAGTATGAGTGGATTTTGCATTAATGTCAACCAAAATGTGCTTCACTCGGCCTTAACAGGAAATATAGATTTAAGATGTTTGTCAATCAATCATACAAATGACAAGCTTCCCATAAGATAAGAAGGCACTTCAGCATTATTTACATCTACAAACACAAACATACAGCGGCCGTTGTCAACAGCCTGTTGTCATAGAGACAGGACGGACGTGCAGCGCTTTTCTTGTCAGCGCACAAATGCTCCATGCAAACGCTCCAGAGCGCTTTTCTGCCTGGAAACAAACGCTAGGTGGACATGAGGCCTTAAGTTTACTTTCAATCTTTACAGGCTGCCCTTTAAGATTCAAAGGAACATCAGCAATATTCAAATCATCTACAAACAAAACCATTAAAGGCACTCCAAAGGTTTAATTGAAATCAAGACTTACACAGTAACTTGAGACTCGTTGAAAATCAATGCCTCTAAGCTGTTGGATTGTGTTCACACACACATAAGACATTAAAGGTGTAATGATTCTGTTTGTTCTGAAAGCCTCGTAAGCTTGAATGGCTTTTGGATTAACAGCAACCTCATTGTCTTTCATCCAACCTATCATTCATAATTCCACAGGAACTATTGATTTTAAAGTTGTTTTCTGACGATAAAAGAAAATAAATCAAAATGACAAGCTTCCCCTTAATTAAGAAAGAGCCTCAGCAATATGTAATTCAACGGCAAACACACATTTTAAGGCATGCATAAGTAAAGTTTAATTGAAAACC